CATTCCTTTTGTCATACTTTTCATTTTAAAAAAGGATACAATTAAAATCATAATTACTGAAAAAAAAGGGCGTTGAATAAATCATAAATCATTATCATTAATGTTATTAAAAGCGAACGATTTCTAAATGACCAAAAAAAGTTGAAAAAAAAAAAAGAAAAAAAAGATGAAAACACCCTATTTGAAAAGCCATCTCGGTGTCTCGCGATTCTACCTTAACCATGTTAACACCGTAACTTCTATTTAAAGAAACATGATTACCATGATCACGAAGAAGAAGAAAAAAAGAATTATGCTGACACACAAAACGTCAGACAAAAATTGTCCCAATTTGGATGTCAATGATGTCAAACTATATCTACGAACTATTCATTAGCCTTTAAGAGATAAAAAACGTCTTTTTAGCTATTCCGTTAAATTTGACTGATCTTTAGTTTTTGTGTGAAAAAGTTCTTCAAAAAAACGAAGAATGGAGAATATTCTGAACTGGAGTGATTTTGCAAAAGTCTAGCCAAATATTTGATAATCATTATTATAAAATAACTCAAAAATAATAGTTGTGTTTTATTGATCTTCTAACCCAAGTAAGTTGATTAAGTTACCGCAAAGTCATAGCTTTACGGCTAAATAGCTCGGGATCTCTCGTGATTCAACTGGCTATGATTAAACAAAAGCCTGCCTTTAATGAGTTAAAAGCCGAGGGAAGTTTTCTAGTTCCGTAATTTGTCTCTACAGCCGAATGAATGACAGCGAGTACACACACCTAATAACTACCTAGTTTAATTGGCTTTTTTTACGTCTTTAAGGCGCCTCCGAAGAAAGGCGAAAATTTGTAAATGACTTGGGTTTCCATTGACCGAATGACATTAAAACGGATCAGTTCAAAATATTTCAATAAAGCATTTTTCACAAAATTGGCTGCTCAAAAACTAGTAAGCTATGTCGAATCTTGACACAAACAAAAAGAAGCTTTTTGAAACTTGTCTGGCGAAGAAATGATTAAACTAAAGCCTGTCTAAAATTAGTAATACTCTGGGTCTTAAAAGAAAAGATAAGAAGTTGTTTTAGAAATTTCTGGATATGAGTTCTCGAGGATTGATCCTTCAAACGCCAACCATAACGAAAGATGTAATCAATAAGCCAAAGTGACAAAAGTGTCTTTTTTTCTCTAAAAAGAAGCGTTTTACCGGTGTGAAAATTGAAGGCGGAACGCGGAAAGGCAATGAATAGGCAACTAATGAATAGGCAACTTAACACGAACATTTAAAGCTTCTAATGTATATAGATGAATTCGAATTCGTTAGTACGCAAGCAGTTACAGTAGCTTTCGTTTTCAGAAAGTTGAATACCATATTTTTTGCTTGCGCTCCTCTTCCCAATAGTTCTTGATTTTATAAATACTTACAGGCCATATAATTTCGCTCAAGTTTTTAAATCGGCGCAGTCCTTAATTCAACGAGGTTTGTTCCATTCCTTATGCTGAATTCAAGGTCATTTTTCTTTGTATTGCTCGGACATTTAGAGCTGAAATCCTAATTTTCTTTACAAATCCGTATAAAAAATAAATCAATTTTGCTCCGAGCCCCAAAATTTTAGCGCTGCTTTACCCCGTCTAGGAGGTACTATTTTCGTTTAAAATTAGGCAAAAATAATTGACAGAATTAAGCAGTTATTTGTCGATCAAATTTCGTCCGTCTATCTTAAAGGGTCTTTGAAATACGATCGTAGTTCGTTTATATAGAATAAAGTCCGTCAAGCCTAAGGGGACGGCAGCTCGTTGACGTTAAAACACAATCAAATTGCTAAGCCTTTATTTCGGACTTATCGTAATTTTGATAACTACTTTAACCGTTTTAATACAAAAAGCTGTATTCTTACGATTTTTAATTCTCAAAAAAATAAAGGATACAATAAACTGATAGTTACTTGTCGATAGTTGAGAAGTAAATAAGACGAGTTTTTTTGTAATGACTTGTGTTACAAAACGATCTGGCGGAGCTTCAAAGACGATTAATGACCTTTTTTTTAATGGATGGAAAACAAGAAACAAAGAAAGGAAAAAAATTCTAAGAGTACTTAGAAAAGCGTCTGCAACATTCAAAACTGAAAGAAATCCCCTTTACTTACCCCTCCCCCCAAAATAAGTTGCTTTATAAAAACGAACGCTCGAGTAATTTCCCAGTGTTCTATTTATGGACGTTTTTCAGTGTTTTTCTATTAAATCCTAAAAATATTTTTCTTAATAAGATAGATATGAGATTTTGATCAAAACCCCACGCTGGGGACCCTAGTAAGGATCAATCTGTCCCAACGCGTCGCTCGGTTATCAAGATATCGTACAGAATAGAGCGGAAAAGGAAAAACGTTTCAAACAATTAGAAAAATCAATAAAACGATCCCGACTTACATCCTTAAGAATACGACGTTTTCCGGAGGTCTTGAAGGTTCATTTCCTTACACAAAGATATATCCTTCGGTTCGGTATAAGATAGCGAGGATCGATAAATATTAATCGTAATGTAGATAATTCAAGAGGGCGGGTTTGCAGTTAACGTTCTCACAAAATACAGTAAACTACTTTTTCCTTCCCACATAATAGTATTAACAAAAGATCATAAACACATCCAGGTTTTTTTTAAACATGATTTTGCTTGAAGTATTTCCACGTCGCGAAAGTTGGCATTGTTTCCTTGGCGTTTCAGTCTTTTGTAATCACGTTTATTGTCGCAAAAAGTATAAAAGCAAAAGCCATATAATCAAACGAATAATACGCCAAAGGATGTTTTTTAAGATGGAAATCCTACTTTCTGATTTAAAGATTTCAATWAAAATGAAAACTAGATCTATTAAATGAAATTCGCTTCAGTTATTTAGCATTTTTTGTGTTGTTCAATGATTTTTTCCTGATTTAAATGTATCAGTTAAAATGAAAAATTTCCCTTAAGAAATCGCTAAAATCTTAGAAGAACGAGGCTTAATTCTTGGAATTATCTATTTAATGAAATTCGCTTCAGTTATTTAGGATTTATTATTGTGTTGTTCAATGGTTTTTTCCTGATTTAAATGTTAAAATCAGTTAAAATGAAAAGTCTCCCTTAACTGATAAATCGCCGGCAAAAATCTTACAAGAACGAGGCGTAATTCTTGGAATTATCTATTAAATGAAATTCGCTTCAGTTATTTAGGATTTATTATTGTGTTGTTCAATGGTTTTTTCCTGATTTAAATGTTTAAATCAGTTAAAATGAAAAGTCTCCCTTAACTGATAAATCGCCGGCAAAAATCTTACAAGAACGAGGCGTAATTCTTGGAATTATCTATTTAATGAAATTCGATAATAGTTCCGATAGGATTTTTTTTGTTCAATGATGTTTAAAACAATCTGTTAATAGCTTGCCGAAAAAGTCTTCTCAAGAAGAGATAAGTATCTTTGAAATAATCTTCGCTTTAAGTTCTTTATATTTCTATAAAACTGTTCACTTTGATTATACCAAGCTACAGGTGTTTCTATAATTGAATATCGCGGTGTTTTTTCTTACTTCACACCTGTAGTACAAAATCTTCCTGATAAAGCCTGAACATTTAGCTGTAACACTCTAAAAGAACCTATATTTTTTGATTTACAGACTTTCGCCACACTTTCTTGATCAAATGGTTTAAAGCATAGTACATTCGGAACTTTGCGGACGGCTTTGCGTGCGAATTTGAGTTATCGCCAAGGCAACCAGCAATTAAGTTTATTTATTATTTGAAAGACTGACAACCCTATCGCTCAACATTCTTTATTTTTAGAACGAATTGACCTCTGTGCTATTTCGAGGACATGAAATGAGACTTAAAGTCACTTCCAGGACTATTTTTTAACCCGCTGTAGTTCATTTATCGCGAGTATTACTCAAGAACATTTGACAAAAGTAAACTCATTCTTCTCCGTTTACAAGAAGTTGGACTGAACTTACTGCAAACTCTTTCCTTTTTAGTATTCTTTAGGTAGAGAATAACACAAGACTTATCCATAGCTCTAGGGCACCCTACGTTCATGTGAATAAGAGTTCAGACGTATTTCAGATCTTTCTGACGAAATTCCTATTTTTCTTTTCACAGGAAAATGATAACGATTTCTGCACGAAAGCACTGAATTTCTGCCACAGAAGAGAAGAACTCCGAAAGAGAAGACAACAACGATTTTAACAGACTACCTTTAAAAATAAAATGCAAATGTTTTAATAAAGAAAATAAGATATTTTAGCTAGATATTCGAAAAAAAATCATTGAATGGATAAAAGTTTGCTTGAATAACAAAAATGTAATGTTAGGATTTYGTTATAACCGTACCGACACCAGAGAGAGTATTTTTGAATAACTAGACTAAACAACTACAATTAGAAACTTCTTATTCTTTCTTGCTTGTAATGAAGGCTTGTATAAATGCAATAACTTGAAATAAAAGTGAGAACTTCTACTTTTTCTTTTCATTATTATCAAAATTTTTATCTTTATTTCACTTACATAATCACAACCCGAAGATTTATAAATTTTATTTTTTTATTCAAACAACTTTTAGATGTTTTTTTTAAAGTTTTTTTTTCAAACAAGTATTATAATAAGGAAAAACTATTCTGTCTATGCTCATGATAAGATTGTTTCCTCACGCTACCATTCTCACTCATCACCATCCTCTTATATATGTACATCTCTATCATTTTTCAAGATTTTTTCAACCGCTTTTTCTGACGTTAATAATAATATATYTTTATATCCCAACGATGGGTGCTTAGCCCGAAAGATAGGATTGTTTCCTTATTAAAATGCTTGATTGAAGAAAAAAAAAATACTTACGATTATACTAACCTAAAAGAATACTTAAACTATTAGTTAACATGACTCACTTATACATTTGGATGGGTTGTACGTAGAACAAAAATTATTGATGCTAAACAATTGTGTTTTAATATAGTTTCTCACCGCAAAAAAATGCCATCAGAGGTAATCGAAACATCTTGATTGATAGCAAACTATATTTAAGGATTTAGGTGATTAAATTTTTTTTAATGGTTTATAGTTGTAGTAGATAGCAATTTTGAGTACCACCTTGGGCTATCTTCTTAAGTGTCCAATTTGACATAATGGACATTGGTGTTAAACGAACTATTCTATTGTTTGATGGACACACATCCCTGTTGAGTCAGAGACTGAATGTCTGAATCAATATACTTTGCTGGGTAATTCTTAAGGTTATACATTTAGCAAACCAAGGTCCCTTTTCTACAGTCTGTGCTCTTATCAAAGATTATGACATCAGCATATGATCCAAACTCAAGTGGAACCACAAGCTCAGCGATTTGTTTTTTTACCACAAAAAATTCACTAACACACATTTTTTCAACGAGTTTTAGCAATCACCAAATGGGAAGAGCATGCAGTCATTGATGTCAGCTTAATGTTCTGTCCTCTTATTGATGATAAAAATAATAGCCAATCAACCGGCGAGAAATTAAAAATTTGTGGTAAAATTCGAAATAGCCCTTGGGCTGATTAAATCAGCACACAGCTAGCTCAAAGATTGAATGGGAATTTAGTGATTTAGGTGCGTGGGAGTGAGGAAACTAAAGAAGCCAGAGATTAACCCTTGAATCAAGGGAAAACCTTACAAACTCTTCTCATATGTGATGACACAGCTAACTCACAGAATAAATGGGAATTTAGCTTTTTAGGTTTCATGGGAGTGAGGAAACTAGAGCACCCAGAGAAAGACCCTTGAATCAAAGGAGAAACCTAAAATACTCTCTTCGTGTGATGACACAGCCGTAACTCAGATTGAATGGGAATTTAGCTTTTTAGGTTTCATGGAAGCGAGGAAAAAAGAACACGTGGAGAAAGACCCTTGAATCAAGGGAGAAACCTAAAAGACTCTACTCATATGTAATGCTAAGTCCAGGAAACAAACTTGAGACCTCAGAGGTGAGAGGTGAGTGTACTATCATAGAATCAGATAATATAAAGGTAACGAGCAATTTATTTGATTGACGGAAGTGTATTGCCCAATTTCCCTGTCTCAACTGTTGTCTCATTCAGAGCATAACAATGAAAAGAGTGGTGATCATAAACATCCTAATGTTGAAACTATAAAGGTTCCTACGTCTATTATTAATCCTTAATTATGAAATGAAATTCATAATCTAATGGTTTGCATAAATTATTTCATGGGTAAACAGGCAGTCCTGCATTTCTGGCATAGGTTTCAGAACAAAACTTGATAATTGATGACTACATATCAGTTTTTTGACAGTTTTGTCCCCTGGCTTGGTATCTAGCAAGAGGCATCTGTCAAGCATCAGACCCAGGATTATACATGCTATTTCTAATAATTCATTATACTTATTGCTATCCAAAAAATACTGACCGCTAATTCCTCTTCTCTAGCCTTCAGGAATGTTATTAATTCATCTTTTTTCTAGTCTTTTAAATCTGGATTCTATAAGAGAGAAAACAAAAGATCTTTATTTTCATGATTGCAGCTGATGTAATGTAGCCCTTTATTTATCTTACCCAGTTACTGGGACTGTAGAGTGTAATTTTGACTGGGGGGCTAACAACCACAAAAGGCAGAAGCACCTAGCACTGAGGAGTTCATGGGTATGCCCTAGCGAAAAGGATTCAATCTGAGATCCTTGGAAGAGCAATTTCTAGTGTTTTGACGGGCATTTACAAAATAACTATTTCATTGGCTATTATAAATAGCAAACAAGTAATTCAAAATATGGTGGCAAAACCCGCTTAGCTCAGTTGGTAAGAGCGTCGATCTGTTGTGCGGGAGGTCGTGGTTCAAGTCTCGGCCGAACCAACACTCAGGGTCTTAAAATAACTGAGAAGAAGGAGCTGCCTTTGTAATTATATTTGCAAATGGTTAGACCTTAAGGTCTTCTTGGACAAGGACTTAAAACCGCAGTCCCCGTCTGCCTTCACTATATAACCCTGTATAAGGTGGATGTAAAATGACTCTAAAGGGCCAACTGTAATTGGCATAAAAGCTGTTGTGGTGTCCCTGCCCTCATGGGGAAAAAGCTAATAAATAAAAATATGATGTGATAGAATTACAAAACCCATGTTTACAAGCCTAGCTGAGCTTATACTCAATCATTAGGGTTTTTTTAATAGACTTATATTAAACTGGAAGGGCTTAAAACCAGGGGGTCAACTAGCAGGGCTCATATCCAGGATTTAACAAGTCTATGCTATCAACATCCTCCTTGCAAACACAGGAAGCCCAACACCAATTTTCTTTTTAAAACACAGGTAGCCCGAACATATCTCAGTACCACACAGCAACCCTAAATTTATGTAATTTTTTTCTTCAAATGAGATCAAATAAAATTTTGCAAGATTATGAAACTTACCTAATTTTTTGGAATAAGCATCTAGTCTATATGCTGCTTGCTCCAGACTTGCTACACTTTCTTCTACTCTGTCGATTTGGTCCAAATATGGCTGTAAACTTTTATCTAAGAAAACAAAGTTTTGAATTTATGATTAAGTGGTAGCACACTCATCTCTCACCTCTGTGGTGATCTGTGAGTTAGCCATGCCCTGACTTAGATCAGCCCAGAGGTTGTTTCAGGGTTGGATCTGTGAGTTAGCCATGCCCTGACTTAGATCAGCCCAGAGGTTGTTTCAGGGTTGGATCTGTGAGTGAGCTATGCCCTGACTTAGATCAGCCCAGGGGTTGTTTCAGGGTTCTATCTGTGAGTTAGCCATGCCCTGACTTAGATCAGCAGAGGTCTCAAGTATAAGTATATAAATCATACATATAGACTGCATTACATGGATGCCTTACATTTGCCATCAAGCTCTTCCATTGTGGTGATCAATGTCTTGGCCATGGTAGACATTTCCTGGTATTTTGAAGTCGTCAATTTGTTTAGCTTCTCGAGAAGAGCGTAATCGTCTAATGAGGCTACAACATGCACAAAACGATAACTTTTGAGTAACATTATATGATAAGGCTTATGTAAGCTAATATCTACAAATTTGCACCAACTTTACGACATTTTGTCATTTTACTAACCCGTAAGTTCCCCATTCAAATATTCTGCTATTTTCTTGAACGTTTCTCTGCATGTATCTTGAAGTTCTGCATACGAAGCATCTTCATTCAGGCTGGACTCAGAAGCTATCCTTCTCCTCGAATTAGAGTCTGTAGAAATCACTTCTAAAGTATCTTCTGACTCTTCAAGCTTGGTACTGGACTCATGGCTTTCTTTTTCAGTCTTTGAATCGCTTGTTTTTGGGAGATTCTCGACTTCACTACCTCCGTCCGCCATCTTGAATTGTTTGTTTGAACTGCCTTGTGGGATACAGCAATACTCCACCACCCCTTCCCCCAAGAAATTAAAACTATGCTAAAATAATAATAAGAATATCACACATTAAGAAATTTTTAAATCTTTAATTAAACTTTTATTTATTTTCTCATTTTCTGATAAGTTTGTAAAGATGAAGAAGAAACAAGTGTGGAAAATGATAAATGATTTAAATCTACAAAATAGCTACCCTACCCCCCTTGAGTAGGAAGTGATGACGATATGTACGATGCAAAGCTACAGGGTTTCAAACATGATTTATAAGATCAATATTTTCCTTTTTTATTAAATAATAAGCTTATAACAAAGAGGAATAAGAGAAAATTTTGCAAACATGTCCAATAGTTGGAAGATATTTATATTATTTGTTGGTTTTGAAACACTTTTACGAACAGCTGATTTCAAATCTCCAAGAACAAAGATCGCAGACGGTGTAATCTTGCCTACTATTAGTCCTTCAGAGCAGAATAATACACTAGAAAGAACATTTCTTGCTTTAGAAGGGCTTCTGGACTTTTATCAGCGAGAGCACAAGAATCTWATCATTGATGGAGTTTATGGGTTGAGAGTTTTGGAAGGTAACCTTTATTTATATAACCTTCTTCATTTTAACTTGAGCTAATTAATTTTTTTTGCAAATCTCACTTCTCAGCGTTAGCGTCCATATATATATTCCAAGCGTTTTTCTTTGAATGCATTTTACATTCCCATTTTGTTGTTTTTAACCCCCCATTCCMAGTGGAATGCTCAAAGATAATAATAATGCTCAAGAAAAGAACAGACTTTATCTGTGCATAGATTTAAATTTAATTTTAATTTTTCTAATAAATGTTTCAATTTTTGATTTTTTTAGGTATAGCGAAGAAAATTCTTGTAGATGACCCAAGAGGAAAAATAATGCTCCCAAGTAGATTAAGAATGAGAGTTAAAAAATTGTATTCACGATGTAAAAAAATTGCAAAAAAGTCAATATATTACATCAAGAAAGAGAACCCACACTACTTTGAGGTTATGGGGTTTATAGCTGTTGAGCCTTGGAAGAATATCCATCCATTCAGACACCTTAAACTTAATGAAAAAGTAGCACAGTTTGATGTCAATATGGGTGACAATGAGACAAAAATGAAAGAATCCGATGAAGATCAGTGTATTCGAAGTCTTGCTGGAGACAAGAAAAAGGGAATAAAACCATGTACAGTTAGCGATCGTTGCTGGAAAGTGAACACAGTACGAGGAAAGTCAGAGTACCATCTTACTCATCAACTGCTCTTCTTTATGATGGGAGAAGTGAAAGGTTAGTTTGATAGGTAACCAGTTAGACATCCCCCAGATAATGTCTGCTGACCATGGCGGCCCCTGACCATGATGCCACTGACCATGATGCCCCCTGACTATGATGCCCCCTGACTATGATACCCCTGACCATGATGCCCCCTGACCATGATGCCACTGACCATGAGGCCCCTGATCATGATGCCCCTGACCATGATACCCTTGACCATGATGCCCCCTGACCATGATGCTCCCTGACTATGATGCCCCTACCATGATGCTCCCTGACCATGATGCCCCTGACCATGAGGCCCCTGATCATGATGCCCCTGACCATGATACCCTTGACCATGATGCCCCTTGACCATGATGCCCCCTGACCATTGCGCCCCTGACCATGATGCCCCTACCATGATGCCCCCTGACCATGATGCCCCTTGACCATGAGGCCCCTGACCATGATGCCCCTGACCATGATACCCCTGACCATGATGCTCCTTGACCATGAGGCCCCTGACCATGATGCCCCTTGACCATGAGGACCCTGACCATGATGCCCCTACCATGATGCCCCCTGACCATGATGCCCCTTGACCATGATGCCCCTGACCATAGTGACCCTGACCATGATGGCCCTGACCACGAGGCCCCTGATCATGATGCCCCTGATCATGATGCCCCTGACCATGATGCCCCCTGACCATGATGCCCCCTGACCATGATGCCCCTTGACCATGATGCCCCTGACCATGGTGACCCTGAACATGATGGTCCTGACCACGAGGCCCCTGATCATGATGCCCCTGATCATGATGCCCCTGATCATGATGCCCCTGATCATGATACCCCTGACCATGATGCCCCTTGACCATGAGGTCCCTGACCATGATGGCCCTGACCATGGTGACCCTGACCATGATACCCCTGACCATGATGCCCCTTGACCATGAGGCCCCTGACCATGATGGCCCTGACCATGGTGACCCTGACCATGATACCCCTGACTATGATGCCCCCTGACCATGATGCCCCTTGACCATGAGGCCCCTGATCATGATGCCCCCTGACCATGATGCCCCTACCATGATGCCCCTGACCATGGTGACCCTGACCATGATGCCCCTACCATGATGCCCCTGATCATGATGCCCCTGACCATGATACCCCTACCATGATGCCCAGTGACCATGATGCCCCTGACCATGGTGACCCTGACCATGATGGCCCTGACCATGATGGCCCAGTTTATAACCCTTTCCCCCCCTTTAATTGATAAGGGAAACAAAAAGAAAAAAGAAAGAAAGTCAATGAGAGAATACATAAGAATTTAAAGCAAAATATATTAATTAATGTCTTCAGGTTGTTCAGAAGTCTTTGAAGCCAAGTTAAAAGCAGTTTCCTTCAAAGGAGGTGTTGACAAGTTTTTGTCTCAGAGCTGCCAACTCATGTATCCTGAAATGCTTCAGCAAGAAAGAAAAGCTCTAGAGAAAAAATATCTTGAAGATATAGATCTGTACATGGAACAGTGTGTGGTGTGTGGYATGCTTGGCTATGCTGAATTTTTTAGCTTGTACAGGCTTAACCTGACATTGGGATGGATTCATCCAAGTAGGGGATGTTTTGGTTTTTCTGGGGATATAAAAAGTGCACCCAATGATGAGGATGAAGAAGAGGAAAAGAGGTAAGCTGATCATAGTAGAAACCAGGGGGGGGTATTCCCCTATATTCGTTATACAGTTCCGTGCCGCCAAACAGGGTATGGTTTTCAGTGATTCTACTCTGGAACAGGGTATATAAAATTGCGCTCGCTCTGGAACAGAGTATATTAAATCACGCTCTCTCCTCTCTGGAACAGGGTTTTCAGCGATCTTGCTCTGGAACAGGGTATAAATTTCAGCGATTTTTACTCTGGAACAGGGTCAGAGTTCAGAGGGCTCAGCGGCACATCCCTACCCTAAACGGGCAAGAGTACCCCGGGAGTAGAAAAGGAAAGACAAACTGACAAGTGAATGAATGAACAAATGAATGAATGAATAAATAAATGAACAAACAAACAAATGAAGAAGTGAAGGAAGGAAGGAACAAACAAAAGATCAATGAATTAAGAGGATTTTGTTTTTCAATAATGAGTAATAGTGGCAAAAAGCACTAAAAACTAGACTTTCGTATGAGTTTTGATCCTAGTTTTCGCTTTGGTTAAACACTCAAAACCTTTTTTAAACAGTTAGAAACTGATGTACTATGATAAAATGCCTGTTTGAAGCGGTATTTTCAATTGTACAAAGACGTTTTGTTACATTTGTGTTAGAATGTTGTCAGGCTTTTCTATGGAAAATATATGGGAAATAAGCAAATGAAGGCCGAAACCTCATTTTCGAATAAAATTTTTGCTTTGGGTTAACACTTTGATTCCACTTTCATCGGTCATCTCCACTTCCAAACAAGTTAAACTTTCTGAATAACGAGATTTTAGCCTTGTACAACAGCCTTTCTTCAAGAAAATAGTTTTTGGCGCTCACTGCTTGAATACAAAAAGAATTCTCTCTTAATCAAATAAAAAGCTGAAATTTCTGTTAAATTTTCATTTCAGTRAGGAAAATAAGAAAACAATGAGACAGTTGAAGGTGGCCAAAGATCTTGAAGGTTTGTAAATAATGAATATCAAACTTCATCCTCACAAACCAAGGGTTAAAATTCTGTCACTTGTGTCTTGCTCCYAGTATTTTTTCTGRGAGTGAGAAATGAGCAGCAGAATTTCACCCCTGTATTCTCAAGAATGGCAAAGCAATTCTACTGGATATACTTTTTTATCTTCTTSATTATCAATCTGCATATTAATCCTAACTCCTGTGAAAACTGAAGTTATTCCTTTCGCTCACATTAAGGTGGTTGCGAGGTGCACTCCACTGGAGTAGGAACAGGCCTTCTTGCTCATTACCTTCGCTGGCTTCTACATATCTCAAAGTTCACTACATTGRAAATGAATCCAGATGGTTATGATAAAGCAGGTTTTTTCATTAAACACAAGTATCTAGGTGTAATACCAAATGYGAAGACAACTTTAATGTTCTTAGTCGTTCTGATTTTGGTTCTTATTGTTTTTGCTAAGAGGTTAAGGTTCAGAATGCCAAACTCTCTCTGGACATAACAAAATCATATACAGAAAATAT